ATGTTTGTCAATATAATCTCTCCTACCGTAATAGAAGAGAATTTACAAAAAAAAAAAAAAATAAATATATATATATATTTATTTTTTTTTTGCCAATAATAAATGTCTAAAAAAAGGAGATTGGAGATCCTGTGTCTGATTTTTCCATGACAACAGAAGGCTGTATTTCTTCAATGAAAGTCGCAGTGTAGGTTTACCTGGGAGATCGACTCCCCGCACAACTCCCTGAACCTGCTTTACGAGGGGAGTGCTGACATTCTAGTTTCAGTGGTTATCGCCGGACTCTCAGCAGAACAGGAACTGAAATTTAAATGTCTTCAGCTGAGGATTAACTTCAAGTGTTAGTTCACCTTTTCAGAACAAAAAAAAAAAAATGAAAAGGTGACCTAAGGCGAGCCATAGATTATGCAATTTTCTTTTTTTTTTCAACCACAGGTTGAAGGAATGAAAATCACCTGATTTCTTCTTTATGCCCAGGATTCTTTACAATGTGATCTGCCAGCTTATACACTACATTGCCGAAAGTATTGGCCCCGCCCTCCAAATCATGTGATTCAGGTGTTCCAATCCCCTCCTAATCATGTGATTCAGGTGTTCCAATCCCCTCCATGGACACAGGTGTATACAATCAAGCCCCTAGGCATGCAGACGGCTTCTACAAACATTGGTGAAAGAATGGGTCGCTCCCAGGAGCTCAGTGACTCCAAGCGTGGTCCCGTGATAGGTGGCCACCTGGGCAATAAGTCCATCCGTGACATTTCCTGGCTACTAAATATTCCACGCTCAACTGTTAGTGGGATTATAACAAAGTGGAAGCAACTGGGAACAACAGCAACTCAGCCACCAAGTGGTAGGCCACGTCACATGACAGGGCGGGGTCAGCGCATGCTGAAGCGCACAGTGCGCAGAAGTCACCAACTGTCTGCAGAGTCAATAGCTAAAGACCTCCAAACTTGGTGTGGCCTTCAGATGAGCCCAACAACAGTGCGTAGAGAGCTCCATGGAATGGGTTTCCATGGCCGAGCAGCTGCATCCAAGCCTTCCATCACCAAGTGCAATGCAAAGCGTTGGATGCCGTGGTGTAAAGCACGCCGCCACTGAACTCTAGAGCAATCACGCCTCTCTGTCTGGCAATCTGATGGACGTGTCTGGGTTTGGCGGCTGCCAGGAGAACGGTACTTACTTAGAGCCGTCAGAGGACATTAAGCACAGATATAGCCTAATGTTATAGAGTCATTTACTACATATTGCATGCAGTTGTTTTGGGCTTTTTTTTTTTTTTTTTTTTAGTCCCCAGAGATGCGAAAAAAAATAAAACCTGTAAGTGAACAAAAAATGTGCAAAGCACATAAAAGTGCACTTAGGGGTGTGCTTTTGTCCACCACCCAAAGGGGTAGGACCTCTACCCTGATCCCCCAGGGCACAAGATTCTAAACAGAGACAAAAGGTGGTCCACCTAGCCAAAAGGTCTGATAGACCCCTTTCCTTGTGGCTAGCTGAAGCCAACCACCGAGTAATAGATCATGAAGCTCTCCCGAAGAGACACCCCAATATGGTCCACCTAGCCAAAAGGCCTGGCAGGCCCCTTTCTTTGTGGCTAGTTGAAGCCAACCACCAAGTACTAGATCAGGGAGCTCTCCCAAAGAGAGACCCCAATATGGTCCACCTAGCCAAAAGGCCTGGCGGACCCCTTTTTTTGTGGCTAGTTGAAGCCAACCACCAACTACAAGATCAGAGAGCTCTCCCAAAGAGAGACCCCAATATGATCCACCTAGCCAAAAGACCTGGCAGACCCCTTTCATTGTGGCTAGTTGAAGCCAACCACCAAGTACAAGATCAAGGAACTCTCCTGAAGAGAGACCTCAATATGGTCCACCTAGCCAAAAGGCCTGGTGGACCCCTTTCCTTGTAGCTAGTTGAAGCCAACCACCAAGTACTAGATCAGGGAGCTCTCCTGAAGAGAGACCCCAATATGGTCCACCTAGCCAAAAGGCCTGGTGGACCCCTTTCCTTGTGGCTAGTTGAAGCCAACCACCAAGTACTAGATCAGGGAGCTCTCCTGAAGAGGGACCCCAATATGGTCCACCTAGCCAAAAGGCCTGGCAGACCCCTTTCCTTGTGGCTAGTTGAAGCCAACCACCAAGTACTAGATCAGGGAGCTCTCCTGAAGAGAGAGACCCCAATATGGTCCACCTAGCCAAATGGCCTGGTGGACCCCTTTCCTTGTGGCTAGTCGAAGCCAACCACCAAGTACTAGATCAGGGAGCTCTCCCGAAGAGAGACCCCAATATGGTCCACCTAGCCAAAAGACCTGGCAGACCCCTTTCCTTGTGGCTAGGTGAAGCCAACCACCAAGTACTAGATCAAGGAACTCTCCCGAAGAGAGACCTCAATATGGTCCACCTAGCCAAAAGGCCTGGTGGACCCCTTTCCTTGTGGCTAGTTGAAGCCAACCACCAAGTACAGGATCAGAGAGCTCTCCTGAAGAGAGACCCCAATATGGTCCACCTAGCCAAAAGACCTGGCAGACCCCTTTCCTTGTGGCTAGCTCAAGCCAACCACCAAGTACAAGATCAGAGAGCTCTCCCAAAGAGAGACCCCAATATGGTCCACCTAGCCAAAAGGCCTGGGAGACCCCTTTCCTTGTGGCTAGCTCAAGCCAACCACCAAGTACAAGATCAGAGAGCTCTCCCAAAGAGAGACCCCAATATGGTCCACCTAGCCAAAAGGCCTGGCAGACCCCTTTCCTTGTGGGCAGCCAAAGCCGACCACCAAGTACTAGATCAGGGAGCTCTCCTGAAGAGAACCCACCCCACCCCCAAGAACAGGGGCAGAAGGAACCTAAGGGCCCACACACCCTCCATCCACGTTTTGGGTTTGTTGGCCCTCACCAGTGCATTGTATGGAAACCATGGCTTCTATAGAGTAGGGTGTGGAGACCAACAACACCATATAACCCTACAGGTTATGGTGAGAAAGGGCTAAATACATCAACACAAGAAATGTATGACAATGTAATAAAAATGAATCTCGGTATATACTGTAAGCATTTATCATAGAACTCTACCTACTTCTATTCCGTAGATTTCATGGTCTGCAGAAATCCTTTAAAATGAGAGCCAAGTGGGAGGCCTTGCAGGGAGGATGAGGTCATCAGTGAGAACAGGATTGCATGCCCCATCATCCTCCTACACGCCCGGGATGTTGGCAGTCAGTCCTGTGACCCGAGGTCAAATGAGAATACTGCTTGATGATAATGTTAAAAAAATAAATACGTGGCACCAGCAAAAAAATATAATAAAAGGTTTAAAATGTTGTAATGAAGGTGGCTGTGCCGCCTCATTACTGTATATACAGCTGTGCAGCACCGCCCTCATACAGCTCCTGTTGTAGCAATACAAGCCATAGGGTCAGCTCACAGCTGAAGTTTAATCCCTCATTAACACAGCAATGACATTTCTATATAAAACCTTTCCATTTTCATTGCATACCCTATTTAGACCCGATGATGTCATTACTGGGTCTCTGTGCTTCTCTAGGCATTGCAGTCATACCATAGCTAGAGGGAGGGGCCGGCAGGAAGCTGTACTTCAATAAAATATCACAGCAGCCTGCCTCAGTAGTCCTGTCAAGAGAACTCAGTCCTGATACAAGCAGTGGGCCGGCTCTTGAGGGGAGTAATGCAAATATCAAAATGCCTTGATGGGTGGGTGTTAGTCTAAAGGAATGGGCGTTCCTAGGCAGGCTGGATTTGTATAGGTAACACCCACTTAAAGAACTGAAATCCAATGAATGAAAGGGACAGGGACAGTCAGGCTGGGGATAAAAGTACTAGATGATGCTGGATGCCCTCCAGCCAGGAAATGAAGTGGAGCTCTATCTGACTTGCTGCAGCTTCTAATGTTCATTGTGAGAAGCTCACAGTGTGCAGCAAAACCAGAGTAAGCTGCTTCAGTCCAGCAGAGAACAAATGTGCAAGAGTAAAGGGGAGGAGCCGGTACAACTGTGCAAGATGGATGGGGAGGAGCCGGTACACCTGTGCAAAACCGAAGGGGAGGAGCTGTTATACCTGTGCAAAAGGGGAGGAGCGGTTTAACCTGTGCAAGGCTGAAGGGGAGGAGCCGGTACACCTGTGCAAGGCTGAAAGGGGAGGAGCCGGTACACCTGTGCAAGGCTGAAGGGGAGGAGCCGGTACACCTGTGCAAGGCTGAAGGGAGGAGCCGGTACACCTGTGCAAGGCTGAAGAAGAGGAGCCGGTACACCTGTGCAAGGCTGAAGGGGAGGAGCCGGTACACCTGTGCAAGCCGGTACACCTGCAAGGCTGGGGGAGGAGCCGGTACACCTGTGCAAGGCTGAAGGGGAGGAGCCGGTACACCTGTGCAAGGCTGAAGGGGAGGAGCCGGTACACCTGTGCAAGGCTGAAGGGGAGGAGCCGGTACACCTGTGCAAGGCTGAAGGGGAGGAGCCGGTACACCTGTGCAAGGCTGAAGGGGAGGAGCCGGTACACCTGTGCAAGGCTGAAGGGGAGGAGCCGGTACACCTGTGCAAGGCTGAAGGGGAGGAGCCGGTACACCTGTGCAAGGCTGAAGGGGAGGAGCCGGTACACCTGTGCAAGGCTGAAGGGGAGGAGCCGGTACACCTGTGCAAGGCTGAAGGGGAGGAGCCGGTACACCTGTGCAAGGCTGAAGGGGAGGAGCCGGTACACCTGTGCAAGGCTGAAGGGGAGGAGCCGGTACACCTGTGCAAGGCTGAAGGGGAGGAGCCGGTACACCTGTGCAAGGCTGAAGGGGAGGAGCCGGTACACCTGTGCAAGGCTGAAGGGGGGGAGGAGCCGGTACACCTGTGCAAGGCTGAAGGGGAGGAGCCGGTACACCTGTGCAAGGCTGAAGGGGAGGAGCCGGTACACCTGTGCAAGGCTGAAGGGGAGGAGCCGGTACACCTGTGCAAGGCTGAAGGGGAGGAGCCGGTACACCTGTGCAAGGCTGAAGGGGAGGAGCCGGTACACCTGTGCAAGGCTGAAGGGGAGGAGCCGGTACACCTGTGCAGCTGAAGGGGAGGAGCCGGTACACCTGTGCAAGGCTGAAAGGGGAGGAGCCGGTACACTGTGCAAGGCTGAAGGGGAGGAGACTGTGACTGAAGGGAGGAGCCGGTACACCTGTGCAAGACTGAAGGGGAGGAGCCGGTACACCTGTGCAAGACTGAAGGGGAGGAGCCGGTACACCTGTGCAAGACTGAAAGGGAGGAGCCGGTACACCTGTGCAAGACTGAAGGGAGGAGCCAGTACACCTGTGCAAGACTGAAAGGGAGGAGCCGTTACACCTGTGCAAGACTGAAGGGGAGGAGTTGGTACACCTGTGCAAGACTGAAGGGGAGGAGTTGGTACCGGTACACCTGTGCAAGACTGAAGGGGAGGAGCCGGTACACCTGTGTAAGACTGAAGGGGAGGAGCCGGTACACCTGTGCAAGACTGGAGGGGAGGAGTTGGTACACACTTGTGCAAGACTGGAGGGGAGGAGTTGGTACACCTGTGCAAGACTGGAGGGGAGGAGCCGGTACACCTGTGCAAGACTGAAGGGGAGGAGGCAGTACACCTGTGTAAGACTGAAGGGGAGGAGCCGGTACACCTGTGCAAGACTGAAGGGGAGGAGAATCAGATTATAACCAGGATTCTAAATCCAGTCATGGACCAAAGGAATTTGGTCACATGTAGAGAGGAGTTCTGGATGTTACAAAAGTAAAAATAATAAACAAATAAAAACTCTATTCATAGTAATTACTGTTATTGGTACTAATAAACAGAGAACACAGAGGTCAGCAACGTATGTATCACTGTATATAAACACTGCAACAAAAACACTGAGAGGAAGTGATACAATGTAATACAAAGGAATACAATGTGATACTATGTGTCATCATGTTATAAAATTTGATACAATGGAACACAATGCTATACAATGTGATATTGTGTGATACAATGCTAAAGAATGTGAGGCAATGCTATATAATGTGATACAATGTGATTCAACCACAGCACCACCTGCCTGGAGTTTGCATGTTCTCCCTGTACCTGCGTGGGTTCCTCCAGGTACTCCGGTTTCCTCCCACACTCCAAAGACATGCTGGGAGGTTAATTGGCTCCTGTCTAAATTGTCCCTAGTATGTGTATGTATGAATGTGAGTTAGGGACCTTAGATTGTACGCCCCTTGAGGGTTAGGGACCTTAGATTGTACGCCCCTTGAGGGTTAGGGACCTTAGATTGTACGCCCCTTGAGGGTTAGGGACCTTAGATTGTACGCCCCTTGAGGGTTAGGGACCTTAGATTGTACGCCCCTTGAGGGTTAGGGACTGATGTGAATGTACAATATATATGTAAAGTGCGGAGTACATTGATGGCGCTATATAAGTACCTGAAATAAATAAATATGTGATACAATGCTATATAATGTGATACGATGTGATATTATTATTATTATACAGTATTTATAAAGCGCCAATAGTTCACTCAGCGCTGTACATTACAAAGGGGGACAGAATTATATCACATATAATGTGATATGATACGATGCGATCTGATATGATGTGATATGATTGGATACAATGCTATATAATGTGATGTGATACAATGTGATATGTTGTGATATGATTGTATCACATCATATCACATTATATAGCATTGTATCCAATCATATCACATCATATCACATTGTATCACATCACATTATATAGCATTGTATCCAATCATATCACATCATATCACATTGTATCACATCACATTATATAGCATTGTATCCAATCATATCACAACATATCACCATTATATCATATCGTATCACATCATATTATTATTATTATTATACAGTATTTATAAAGCGCCAATAGTTCGCTCAGCGCTGTACATTACAAAGGGGGACAGAACATGTGACAGAACAATACCAATACAATGTGATACACGAGGGGATCGAGGGCCCTGCTCTTTCGAGCTTACAATCTAGGAGATCACATCGTATCACATTATATAGCATTGTATCCAATGTGATATGATGTGATACGATGTGATATAATGTGATACGATGCGATACGATACGATGCGATACGATACGATGCGATACGATGCGATCTTGTTTTTCATGGTTAGAACATCCTTTGCTGTCTGTGTCTCCAATGCGGAGATCCTCTCTCACTTCCTGTTCCAGAGAAATAAAAGGGGCGTTTCCCTAAAGTAGGAAACAATAATTGCTTTGACAGTTGTCACCAGAACAGGTGTCCCCATTGGATGATTTGTTCTGGTGACAGCTGTTACATTTTAGATTTCTCTGATTTTCCTTCCAATAGTCGCTGGCACAAATACAGAAGGGGAAAGGCTCCAGCTGAGAGACAGACAGTAATAAAAACCTGACAGTCCTGACTCCATTCAAAACTAAAGAAAATGAACAAGTTAAGGCTGGGGTGCCACATCCCAACCTCATGCACCTTTTCTTAAATGGAAGATGCCATAAATTGATAATTTTTTTACTGCTGATTAGTCAGCAACAAATAGAAGATGCCATGAACGGACAGTTTTCCACAGCTGATTACTCAGCAACAGCAGGAAAAAATGGAAGAGTCACTTTTCAATATATTGTTTCCGCCTGTTGTACAACACTGTGAGCTTGCTTCCCATGTAACAGATGAAGTAACTCCCTTCCCCCCCCCATCGTGTTGACATGCCCTTGTGGCAGTTTGTTGTGTGTACGTTGTCAGTAGTTACTGGACCAACGCAGAGCTCCCTGATTGGACAGATCTGTCTGCACGTGTTCAAACTTCGCCCATTCCCAATAGGTCATCATCTCCACACCAGAAATAATATAAAGGATGGGACTTTGGACTTGGCCATGGAAGGTAAACATGTCAGCTGATCAGAATTTCACCCTGTCTGTCGGTGGGCCGCCCCCTCGGCCTATCACTGCAAAGTACGCTTTACTGGATTGACGGCTGTCAAGATTTCTAGTTTCCTGCCCAGAAATGACAGATCTCCTTGTACAGCAATAGCTGACCTTTTGTGAAGCGCACGCCCTGAATATTTCTGGACAAAAAGCAGCTGATGGCAATTCCATAGTTCTGCTATGGCTAGCTGGGCATGCTGGGACTTGTAGTTCCTGGAGGTTTTAAGCTCGCTCCTTCAAAGAAAACCTCGCCAATGGCTGCCCCCATGTCCCGGGAGGTTTCCCTTTAAGGGTTCAATTTACATATTTCTCTCATCAAAATGAATGGCGCCACAATGCGGCATGCTACATGGGCTGCTGCGCCGTTCATTTTACATGGCACCTCAAGGCACTGACGCAACACACCTACCCTGCTGTGTGCCGGAACGCATGCGAGTGTAGAAAAAATAAATAAATTGGGGCACATTAGGGTGCAATGGCAGCCCATTCATTTCAATTGGCTGCTTTAACGCAACGCAAGACATAAGGCGCACTTCAAAAATGTACCAAGTTCCAGATACTGCAGGATTCAGGTTTTGAAGGTTTTCATGTTATCACTCAGAAGAAAAGCTGACCATAGACATGTCTCACTAGAATGACTATTTATTTATTTATTTCAGGTACTCATATAGCGCCATCAATGTACTCTGCGCTTTACATATATTGTACATTCACATCAGTCCCTAACCCTCAAGGGGCGTACAATCTAAGGTCCCTAACCCTCAAGGGGCGTACAATCTAAGGTCCCTGACCCTCAAGGGGTGTACAATCTAAGGTCCCTAACTCACATCATACATTCACATACTAGGGCCAATTTAGACAGGAGCCAATTCACCGACCAGCATGTCTTTGGAGTGTGGGAGGAAACTGGAGTACCTGGAGGAAACCCACGCAGGCACAGGGAGAACATGCAAACTCCAGGTAGGTGGTGCTGTGGTTGGGATTCGAACCAAGGACCCGAGTACTGCCAGGTGGAAGTGCTAACTATTTAGCCATTTGCTGCCCATATAACTAGGCACAGAAGGACGATGGCATTTTTTGGATCAGGGATTGCCCAGAGTCGCCATCTACTTCCTGGAATGAGATGGCGTAGTCATACAAATCCTGAAGCCTGGGACTGGCTAATCCTGGTCATCTTGTGATTTGCTACAACGTTACAATGTTGTAGTCTGATAACTGGAGGAGAGGAGACTGAGGAAATTCTTCCTTCTGCATGCAGCAGACTGATGACATCATCTCAGCCTAAGCAAAGTCACTGCACTGGGGCTTAAAGTGTCACTAAACCCCGGACCCCGCGTTCACTATATCCGCTCTCCCCGGACCCCGCGTTCACTGTATCCGCTCTCCCCGGACCCCGCGTTCACGGTATCCGCTCTCCCCGGACCCCGCGTTCACGGTATCCGCTCTCCCCGGACCCCGCGTTCACGGTATCCGCTCTCCCCGGACCCCGCATTTACTGTATCCCGCTCTCCCCGGACCCCGCGTTCACTGTATCCGCTCTCCCCGGACCCCGCATTCACTGTATCTGCTCTCCCCGGACCCCGCATTCACTGTATCCGCTCTCCCCGGACCCCGCATTCACTGTATCCGCTCTCCCCGGACCCCGCATTCAATGTATCCGCTCTCCCCGGACCCCGCATTCAATGTATCCGCTCTCCCCGGACCCCCCGCATTCACTATATCCGCTCTCCCCGGACCCCGCATTCACTATATCCGCTCTCCCCGGACCCCGCATTCACTGTATCCGCTCTCCCCGGACCCGCATTCACTGTATCCGCTCTCCCCGGACCCCGCATTCACTATATCCGCTCTCCCCGGACCCCGCATTCACTACATCCGCTCTCCCCGGACCCCGCATTCACTATATCCGCTCTCCCCGGACCCCGCATTCACTATATCCGGTCTCTCTGGACCCTGCATTCACTATATCCGCTCTCCCCGGACCCTGCGATCACTATATCTGGTCTCCCCCGGACCCTGCATTCACTATATCTGGTCTCCCACAGTACACAGAACATGGAAATGCAATTATTTTAGTAAATATAAACTGCTAAATACCTTTTCTCATCAGCAGAATATAGCAGTCTTGTGACTTCTAGCAGTGTCCAGCAGAGCACTAGCTAAAGCTTGTAGAAGGAGTTTTCTTTCTGTTCTAGGAAGAAGGAAATCTCCTGACCTCTGTTTGGACAGTGCTGATTGGCCTTGTGCTAATCACATCCACTCTCCCAAGAAAAAAAAAAAAAAAACTCTCTAGCAATACACACCAAACTGAGCATGTGCATGCCTACAGTTTAGTCTGCAGATAAATGGTGGCCCCTTGAAAAAGGGGAGGAACAGAGAAGGCAGGATCAGACAGCCTTTTTACACAATGCAGAGGATTAACCCCTTAGGTCCCACAGTGAGTATAACAAGCACGCTTTACTGCCTCTACAGACTGATTGTACTGTTGTGGGTTCAGGAACACTTTAAGAAGGGCTTTGTAATGATAAAAAGTGGAGCTTTTCCAACAAACGTCACTATTGCTGTACCTTGCGGCGTGTCAGGAATGTATTCATGCAGACATAAGTTACGTAAAGGTCCACTTTAAACCTGTTGATACTCAGATCTGCTCTATGACACCGATTTTATAAATTCCTGGAATCGAGGTACAACATGAT